AAGATCATTTAGAAGGCATCACAAAAACGTGGGGGTTGCCAGGTTGTGAAAAACACCTCAGGTGGTGTTTATCCTTTTAATTTGGTAATATTAAATATTGATCATCAATATCATCAATAAAGCAAAGTTACAGCATATACATCTTTCATAAATAGTGGCTTATTAAAAAGTGGTGTCATTGAAATTACTACTAAACTTAGGGCTTTCTCTGGGTCTAATTCAGCCTCACTTGTTGCTCCATCCATACAAAAAATGCTTTCATACCTCACCGCACCTCCCATGCACTAAATACCAAAACTGTCACAATATAATGGAAACCCCAATTGGGAGTATAAATGATGTCAATTTGACATTCTGCCCTCTGCAACGCTGCCAGGACAACCTCTACATCATATCTGCACCACGGGGCTTTCCCATCTATCAGAGGTGCACCAGAGGAGCGAGTGGCTCATTCCCAGCTTTAATGACACTTAGAGCACATTAGGGGCTGTGGTTACATGGGAGGAGAATCACTCGAGCGGAGTCTGACCAGCGAAGCGCTGAGCCGTAGAGCTCGGAGGAGGTCGCAGTTCACCTTGTATGTTAATTAAAATGGCTTTGGAATCACTTGCGTGAGTGCTCCCGTGGGGGACTGTGGTGTTGTATTTTATGTAATGAACAGATTGATTCTGCCGATTGCTGCACCTGGTTTGAAGTAAACCACTCAACGTGTCATTATATTCTGCAGGGAGAATACCCTGACATGCTTATCATCAATATTACTACTGTACTGAATTATTCCTATGTCTGCTTAAACCACTTTACAGTTACAGTCTATCTGTAAGTTAAACAATGTACTTTTCTCTCCAAACAAGATGAAGAAATGATGGAATATCTGAAGTAAAAAATAATTAAAGACATTGTGGGATCCATCTTGAAATATGCTGAAAAATCCAGACTGATCAGATGGCTTGCTTTCATACTATAAACAGTAAAACTACATGAATGCAGCCCTTTAAAGTTCAGCTTGTTCGTGTTTCTAAATGTAATTAGACAACGAAATATGTGGTCAAATCACAGCAATAAGATCAGGCAGTGTATCCAAATTGAACTTGAGTTAATTGATGTTAAAGCTTGAGTAAGGTTCAGGTGATGGATAAAGTATGTGAGTAGAGCATATTAGGAAGGACCAAAGCATTTCTTGTTCAAAGCAACACTATGGAACCTTTGAAAGAAAGAAGATGAGGCAAATTCATTTGGTGCTAGTTTGCCAGCTATTTGGTGCTGGTTTGTCCTGGGTTTCAGGGTGGGTGTCACTTTAAATGTCCTGCATTCAAGGTTAGTAGAAAATGTTTTATTCCACAGACAAATGTATTATTGAATTATTTTACAGATGCGTGCATGTCCAAGTCACATTTACTGGTCCAGCTGGTCAAGCTGCTAGTTTTAACTACTGTTGGATAGTTTATAAGGAATATTTTCTATGATGATGACATTGTTTGTTTGTAAAAACACAACCTGCAGCCGTCAGATAAATGTGTGATATGTATAGCGAAGTACAGTATAATGCACCCACTCATCAACATGAGTTCCCCATACTCATCAAAAAGTATAATGGCTTTAACCAGCCTAGTTCTGCTCCTTCCTCATTACCCGACCTGCTCTTCCTCAACACCTTAGCCCACGGTGAGTCCAGGGATGGTCAGAGAGGAGAGTGATTAATGATAATAGATATTCCAAAGATAGCCAACATGTCCTCCTCTTTTTTCCCGCATACAGACGTCTTATGGAACAGCTCCATGTGTAAATGAGGGGAATGGAGGAGGAATGTGTTGAGAGACTTCAAAACAAGTTAATGAAAGATTTATCAGCACCTGAAATGAGTACAGGAGCAGATAAGGCCACATACATGTGAGCTAATTAACTTGGCAGTGTATGGTTTGATTGATTATGGCCAATTAATAGCTGGAGTCCGTCTGTGTGAAGTCATTTGTCATTCGCTGACTTCCATGACTCAGGCGCTCATGTTACCTGCTGACAGGACTGCTAATATGTTTGAGTCAGAGCAGTTCATTACTCATTTTACTTCCATTGTGTTTCTCTGTGGCCTGTTTCACATATCCTCTGCCTTGTGTCCTTATGTTCATTTACTGGCTCGAGTTATTTATAGCTTGATTTCACCCTGGGTAGTTTGACTCAGCACACTTGCTCTTTTTAGCGATGCGCTGGCACTCCGGGGCGTTAAAAACTAACCTTTTGGTCAAACGGCCACGGTGGCAGCCGGAATTCAGTGAGTTGGGCAGTTCTTTGAAACCAGATGAGTTCTTGAAATTAAAGGAAAAAAAGGAGCGACGGAGAGGTGGCCACCTGCCAAAGCGGCTGATAGAAGTGAGAGAGTTCCAGCCAGAATCTCCCAGCATTTGGCAGGTGGCTGGTGTTAATGTGCAGCCTTGGCTCTGCTGAAACGCTTTTCCACGGCTCCACATATTCCCACCTCGCAGCCTCTTCCTAATTATGTTTTCTCGCAGTATGGAGCCCCAGCTTATTATGCTGCATGTCTGTGTGTCACCGTGAACGGGGAAAATCAGTGGAGGAGGCATCTCCACTCACTGTTTTTTGCCAGCTTAAGCAGAATACAAAAATAAAGCCTGGTGAGATGTGGATTATTGCTGAAGATACAGAATAATGTGTTCCATTGTGATCCCTCCGCCACCGCTGACATCACAGACAACTGAGGGAGGTGTTGTGCTTTCTGTCCCTCTCTCACAAATCAGGACATGTGGAGATGTTTTCTCCCCTACCAGCAGAATCAGAAAGGAGCTGTATATTTAGCCTCCTTTAACTGTACTATCACGGGTGTCTGCACTCTCACTGTCCTGCTCTCTTTGTTTCTGCTCTGTGAGCAGACACATGGGCCGCTGTCTGACAGACAGGCAGACCGACTATTAGCTGTAATTGCCAGAGGATCAGTCATCCCAAGTGCATCAGGTCTGTTTGCTGTTTCCATGCAAAAGGCAGACTCAGGGCAATATAGGCTGAAAGACCTGACCCAAATCTGTCTTTACGTAAGGCCCTGCTGCATGATGGAGATGTTGCTCTGGGAGCAAATAATTAGATTATTCAAATATCATAATGCAGTCAGTCAGATTGGCACTGGCGTGTAGCTGAGGCTTGATTAAAGGCGGAGGGAGGGAGCAGAGCGGGGAGATGAGAAGGGGGTGTGGGGGGAGATTACACTCTACAAGATTTCCTAATTGATCTGGAAGGAGGGCTGTTTAATTGATCTAGGATGCTGCGCTGGGGTGCCACCATTTCTGCATATCAAATTGGGTCAGAGGGAATGTGTGAGGTAGCCAAATAAAGAGGGAAGGCTGGGAAATGTGACAAAGTGGTGGAAACGCTGGTGTGAATGATGGAGCAGGAGCTGAAGATACAGGTGCGCACCTGTCGTGTGGAGGAAAATATGTGCAGAAACCGAATCCTGCAGTGTTTAACAGTGCAAAAGCTGCGGGAATATACATCTGAAATGAGTGAACGCGCAGGGCTGTGGGCTGTCGAGCACTATTACGCACAAATATCACACCTGCGCCTCCGACATGCACACGGACAGACATCAAACACGCAAATAAGATACAGAAATTCTACCAGTTCGGGGGTACTTACGTGCCATATTGCAAAGAAGATCAGGGACACACAGAGGACCAGAGACAGCATGTAGCAGAAGGCAGCAAAAGTGAACATAATTGAAAGGGGAAACGGTGGATAATTTCCCAAAGAAGCACGATCCCGCTGACAAACATCTAAAACAAGAAAAGGGGGGAGCCAGGAAGAAAGTTCTCACGGTGCCATGAGAAGCCGATGCGGTACCGGCACCATGACTTCGCCCCTGGCAGTGTTTGCAACAAATTGTTGCAGAAATCCTCTCCAGCCGTGCCGCGCGTCCACCCAGCAGCGCTGATGTGACTCTGAAGTCAAGAGCAGCTCTCAGATCAGTGCACTTGGCATGTTCAGCCTTCAGTGTCCACAGTGTCGGTGAGGTATGTGATCATGAAAAGAAAGGAGGAGAAGAAGAAGAAGAAGAAGAAGAAGAAGAAGAAGAAGGCAGCGGGTCCTCTCAGAGAGGAGTGGGAACTAATGTGAGGAGCTTCTGCGCAAAACCATCCGGGAGAGGTGAATCTGTAGGTAATCCATTCAGCCGCGGCGGAAGGAGCTCTGCTGGCTCAGTGCTGCTGTCATGGTGTTGTGAGAGGAGCTCCTCGTCACTTCAAGCACAAGGCGTTCATAAATGCTCTTTTCTCTCCCTGACAACCCTATCAGAGCGCAGCGGAGGGCGCACGAAGGCGCGTGAACAGGTGGATTTACAAAGAGCAGCGCCCGGTGTGCCCGCGCGCCCGCATGCGTGTGTGTGTGTGTGCGGTCAGATGTCTAGTTTTACTGTGGCCTGCCGTCGATATTGCCAGTGTAGTTTGGGTCATGTGGGTGCCACATTATTTGGAACTTGCGCATGGTTCTGGGTTAATGGATTGGTTACAAAGACGAGCCATCCTTTCCATTTGTGTGACTTCTGAGTGCGTAACCAGCTCAATACCACGCCATTTGCTACGCTCACCTGTACAAAATGCCCAGATCGAACACTTAATGCAATTTGCGGTTACATGCTGCAGACAGGAAGCACAAGAGTCCAGAATGACAGAAATATAACGCACAGATTGATCCGCACTCACAGAACACGATTCTCTTACAGGCAGTGATCATTTCGATTAGGGGGGGGGGGACTAAGTGTTTCATTGATGACTTCAAAGACAACCATCAGCTTGGATTGAGGCATACTGTATATTAAAACTGTGAGACTGGCGCCACCGTCTGGCGCTTTTATAGACTGCCTGTCATTGTGCTATAGAGCAGACGTTATTCCTTAAGGAGCCCTTTTCTATCATTTAGTAACCTGGTGACCCCTGACTCAGTGACATATTTTATAGATATTTCATATTGTATTCAAGGCCAGTGAACCCAAACAGTGAGCTCAGTAACTGCAAGAAAGGTGTGTAAAACGAGGGATTTGGATGAATTTTGAGCAGATTATAATTTAATCACTTTTAACAATCCAATTAAATTCAGTGTTATCTACTCCCTGACGCTTGGCCATTCTTCACAGCAGTAAACCAAATGCTGAGCTATAGGCCTACAGTGTGTATTTTTTATATGTTTTCTAGCACGCCCTCAAATCAAGAAGCCCTCGCAAAGACTTGTTTTATTTGTTGTTAATAATGATAATCATTTATTAAAGGACCAGTGTGTAGAATTTAGTGGCATCGAGCAATGTAGTTGCAGATAACAACTTTGTCGCTTCACCTCCCCTTTCCAAGCACGAGGGAGAAACTACAGTGGCACACAAAAACAAGGCCCTATCTACACCCAGTGTTTGGTTTCTCCATTCTGGTCTACTATAGAAACATGACGGTCCAACATGGCAGACTCCATGGAAGGTGACCCGCAGCATCTCTAGATAAAAACAGCTCATTCTAAGGTAACAAAAACACAATGATTCTTATATTCAGGTGATTATACACTAATTAAAACATACCTATGAATATTATATTCCATGTCTGACAATAGATCCTCCTGGATGTTACACACTGGACCTTTAATGGAGCACTTTCAGCACTGTGCTTTCCAGAAGCAGGAAAATAAACACAATGACATACATATATTTATATATATCTAAAGGCATAAACAACAGTATTTAAATTTAAAAAGGTAGTAGTCTGTACTGGACTGGACTAACAACCTTTGGGAGCCACTTACAGCCGTCTGTTGTAAAGATTGTAAGGTCCTCTGACTGTGTAAACACAGCTGACTGGACTTGAATGCTAATGCAACAGCTCAATGTGGCTGTAACTGACTTTCCATGAGAATGGAAGGTTAAAAATAACGCTACAATGTTTCCCAACCTGGGGGTTGGGACCTCCACTTGGGGTTGCCAAGGCTTCATGGGGTTATGCGAGGCCTTCTTGATTTTAGAAGAAAACAAAGTGAAATTGTTATTTTTAAAGTTTAGATTGTTATTTAAGATCTAAACTTTGAAGACCTGAACACGAGCTATATTTATTTATGCATTAGAAAGTGTTAGTGTTAGTTCCAGTGTCAGGGAGATAAAACACTGAATTTGTTAAAAAAAAAAAAAAAGACTATTAAGTCTGTGTGATTGCTGAAATAAAAAAAATCATACTATAGACTAGAATTGTTAGTTCCTAAAAATATCAGGAAACTCATCTCTGATCAATGATCACAGGAAACAATCTGATGAAAATTCAACCAAATTGCTCAGTTTACACAAACTTCCTGCAGTTATTATGTTCACCGTTTGGGTTCATTGTACAGTATCAGTTGTTCTCTACTGTTATTGTTATGCATTGAATATAATATAAAATATCCATAAAATGTGCCACTTAGTCAGGGATTGTCCTGAAGGAAAAAGGTTGGGAACCACTGCTCTAGAGATTAAAAAAAGTTACAGGAAAAATGTACGCGCGCTTTATTTTGAAAGTTCTGTTAAAACCGGATCTCAGACACCTGTCCTGTCTGACTTGACGCGTGGCCCTTGTCGCCTAGCAACAGCTTGTGGCAGCTGTGGCTGCTCCCTCTGATTAAACCGCTGCGTCATTATTTCCACCACAAACGAAGGCTGTTGGCTGAGAAACGTCAGAGAAATAACCCGCTGAGTAATGAGTGATACGTGTAACTTCATTTATAAAACTTATTCGTCATTCTGAGGAGTTACAAAAGTAACGTTACACACCGCACAGTGGACAGCGGACGTTACACAGTAAGTAACGTTAGCCTAAAGGAAAACCTTTGTTTCTGGCTTTGGAGCTAGTGAGTTAGCCTAATGTGGAGTTCCTCATACAGTGACTGGCCTGTGAACCCTTTTAAGAGTTTGTATGACTGTGTTGACTTTATTCATCAGTCTGCTATTACAGGAAACCTCCATACACTGTTCCACACTAACAGGTCAGGCCTAATAGCTCAAGTTAAAGAGATAACATTAATTCAATGAAAGCATGAATGGGGATCAACTGAGAGAGTAACAAGTTACGTTAACATAAAAGGACATTTTACAGTTCATTGCATCATTTATGCGTCTCCATTTTCTCCACAGCATGACAAGTGTTCAATAAAATAAAATAAAAGAGGAGGCAGGACTCTAAATTGCCGTCTTTTTACTTTCAGAGCATCTTCACGTGAGAGCTCTGTAGTCTGACACTTGAGCCTGTCACTCAGCCCTCCTGAGATGTTACAGAAAACACACACACACACACACACACACACACACACACACACACACACACACACACACACTTCTGCTAAGTCACTCCAGGACCTGCCTTTGTGGCTGTGACACTTAACCACCACGCTGTCACCGTCTTATTCCTCCCTGATACATGTGGTGATATGACAACAGCCCTGACGGCCACTTGGTGCGGCGTCAACAGGCTGTTGTGTCCAAGCGTGAGTCAGAGATGGACAGGAGGCCTGTGAGGACAGACAGACAGACGGTGGAGTCTGCACGGCAACTAGTGATGCAGCAGATTTGGGATACTGCTGCGTCATTGCTCAGCATTTTCTGTGTCTGTCTTTTTTAAAACTTTCTGATGCTGCATCTGAGATCAGGTGGCAGACTCCCTTAAAATGCCAGTCACCTCTGGTTCTGAAGTACTTTCCATGACAGGTAAACTGAACCTTCAGCCTGTTGCACCAGCTGTGTGTAAGTTCAAACTTAGCCTAGTTATAACATAAATTATTACTAAGTTGTGATTTATGTATTAAAGTAAGCTCCAACTGCCAAAAGCTCCTCCAGCAAGCCTCCTCTCTCCTCTCTCCTCTCTCCTCTCTGCTCCAGATGCAGTTGAAGTTGAATTCAAGTGGTGCACTGAGATTGATTTCTGGGTCACAGACAGGAGGAGGGAGGAGAGAGAGGAGGCAAGGAGGCACAAATTAGAGATATGCGAAAGGCCCACAGGTCTCTCATGTAGCAAATATATAAGGGTTCAAATCCGACCTGTGGCCCCTCTCTCTCTCTCCCCCTTTCAACTCTCAAGCTGCACTGTCTAATAAAGGGAAAAACAAACAAAAAACAAAACAGCGTGTCAGGGTTGTGCCCACGCCTCGGAGCAGTTTGTGAGCAGTGGACCATCAGTATCAGCAGCCTTGGGGATTCAGTTTTAGCACTGATAAGCTATATGTGTCGGTGTTGCCCTTTTTTACAGCTCTTTGTGAAAGCAGCATTGCCAGAAATTGGCACAGCCTCTAATTTTTTGTTTGGAAAGAGGCCAAGGCCATAATGTGCTCAGTTCCCAGTAGGCATTTCAAATGGTGTTGCATAGCAACTAATAATCCTTTTTGTCCAATCAAAAGCTTTTTCTGCACTGTTTCCTAATCATTATTTATCCAAGGGAGAGCATAGCTCCTTCTCAGGAGCAGCTGTTTGGTATGCACTTACAGTGGCTGCTGTTCACACCTGGGACTACTTCTTCTGTAAAGTTATTGGTCAGTGGTCATCATGGTAGCAACTGGTAGTTCAAGTCTTCTTCCGGGTCAGCTCAGAGTACTGGGTCGACCTTTGTGCCGTATGTGTGTATTGAATCTATGTCCCGTTTAGGTGCTAAGATGGAGTGGAAGGAACAGGATGGATCGATGCTGAACCTCCACCAGCCCCAAGCTCACACAGTGCGAGCTGAGGAAAGCTGTTCTGTGCAGGATTCCCCACCTCAGGCCACAGGAGTCTTCGACAGTAGGAAAAAACAAAGTGAGTCCAGAAAATGTAGCAGTTCAATATGTGATACACTTTCTCAGCTAAGTCATAAGAACAATGAGAAGAGAGCGTTCCTCCTGTTTAATGATAAGATTCTAAAAACAAGGTTATCATGGTCTCTTTTAGATATGATTGAAAACTGAATGCACCATCGAGTGTAGGATGATTCCAAAATAGTACCTGTGCCAAAAATGATAAAGCCATTTGAGAAGATTGTGAAGGATGAACTCTTTCCCACGGTTCAAACCAAATTAGACCCGCTCCAATTTGCTTACAGGTCAGTGTTGATGATGCAACAGTCACACTTTTAAATGTGATTTTGGCACACCTAGACAGCAAGACTAGTTTTTATTGATTTTTCCTCAGCTTTGAACCATGTGCAGCCTCCCATTTTAGACAACATTGATCCTGACTGGACACACTGGCTGACTTCCTAACCGAAAGGTCACAATGTGTGAAGGTCAATGAGGTTTTATCAGATGTTCTTTTGTCCTCTCTAGGGATGTTCCTGGTGACTAATTTTGCCGTCGATTAAAAACAAATTAAAATTTAGACTAGTTGACTAGTCTAAGAGTAAGAAAACAGTCAAACTTTAACACAATGTAAAGAACACACAAACCGCACACACAGACACACAGCCAGGCTTCACAAGTTACTCTGGTAGATACCCTGATATATCTTGTTACACACATTTGACGCAGGGGCAGTTTGTTATATTATTGGCATTTAAATGTCAGTAAATGCACTGTGATACTGAAACATACGGAATGCCGGACAATGCTGTGAATGATTAGGAAGAAAATGAGGACACTGTTATGAGACAAAGAGAGGGATCAGTCTTGCTGCTTCATTGTTGTGGCATAACTGATCAAACATGGATGATGGCATTGGTGATGATGTGAAGTTACAGAGGATAATGTGACAACTCAGGGAGCAGGTTACTAAACACTGCCTGTCAGTCAGCATATACAGCGAGTCCTTCTTAGATTTCAGGAACAATGTGCTGTTCATCTCAGGCTGTTGAGTTTGTGTAGCAGTGCAGATACACTCCTGAACAAAATCTTAAGAATAATCTTAAAAATTTTAAGTATTCGCATTTCGCGTTGGTGGAACATAACCAGGTTGTAAGTAGAGCTTCAAAATGCCAAAAGAAGAAACAGGAGCAAGAGACAAAACAATAGAGGAGGCAATTTATTGAAAATTGCATTTAAACTCAAACAGGCTGTTCATCAGCTGATCAAAAGTTTAAGACCATAGCCTTAAAAAGTCCAAATCTGTGCAAAAATCTGGCTTTCATGTCATTTTCTATCAGGCATTCACACTGTCATGACCACCTGATGGCAAAGGCAAAAAGGCTTTCTATCTTTGAACGTGGCAGGATTGTTGAGCTGCACAAGCAAGGCCTCTCGCAACGCGCCATCGCTGCCGAGGTTGGACGCAGTAAGACAGTCATTTAAAATTTTTTAAAAGATCCAGAGGTTTATGGGACAAAAAGGTCAAGTGGTAGACCCAAAAAATGTCACATGCGCTGAGCCGGAGGATCCAACGGGCTGTCCGTGAAGACACAGGCCGATCCTCGACCCAAATTAAGGCCCTTACTGATGCTGACTGCAGCGCAATAACCATCAGACAGCATCAACGACAGAAGGGCTTAAAGAACAGAAAACATCTTCAAAGGCCACGTCTCCTCCCACACCACAAACTTGCCGGTTTGCACTTTGCAAGGGAGCACCAAACACGGGACATTGAAAGGTGGAAGAAAGTTTTATTCTCTGATGAGAAAAAATGTAACCTTGACGGTCCTGATGGCTTCCAACGTTACTGGCATGACAAGGAGAACCCACTGGAGATGTTTTCTAGGCGGCACGGTGCAGGAGGCTCCATCATGATCTGAGGTGCTTTTTCCTTCAATGGAACAATGGAGCTTCAGGTTGTGCAGGGACGTCAAACTGCGACTGACTATGTAGAGATGTTGCAGCAGGCATCCCTCTTGACTGAGGGCCCTCGTCTGTGTGGTGATGATGGTCTTTCAACAGGACAACGCTGCAGTTCACAACGCCCGCCTGACGGAGGACTTCTTCCAGGAGAATAACGTTGCTCCTTTGGACCATCCTGCGTGTTCCCCTGATCTAAATCCCATTGAGAACGTTTGGGGATGGATGGCAAGGGAAGTTTACAAAAACAGACGTCAGTTCCAGACCGTGGATGCCCTTCGTGAAGCCATCTTCACCACATGGAGCAACGTTCCCACCATCCTCCTGGAAACACTCGCATCAAGCATGTTTAAACAAATTTTTGAAGTGATCAACAACAATGGTGGGGCTATTCACTACTGAGTCCTTTTTTTGACACTTTTAGTTCTGTTTTGGGGTTTTTTTGGGCTATGGTCTTAAACTTTTGATCAGCTGATAAACAGCCTGTTTGAGTTTAAATGCAATTTTCAATAACTTGCCTATGCTATTGTTTTGTCTCTTGCTCCTGTTTCTTCTTTTGGCAGTTTGAAGCTCTACTTAGAACCTGGTTATGTTCCACCAACGCGAAATGCGAATACTTGTCATTTTTCCCCCGGTCTGGCCACTGTAGCTGACGACAGGCTTACGTTTGACTTTCATGTGGACACTGGTTGTAAGAAAGCTCATCAGTGGATGTATTTTTATTGAAAGCTTTGAAGTACTGTATTAATGTTGATAATATATTTATGAAAATGTTGTATTCCTGTTTCATTGAAGCAGTCCTCACATTCTCGTTTATTAGCTGGTAGCCTCAAACACAGGAACAGATTACAGGTTATAGTCAATAATAAAGATATCACTTGATCCTGGATCTTTTGGGGTGTGAATTGAGACAAGTCCTCTATCTACATGTGTCCATGTCTTACTTCTAGGTGTGTCCCCCCGCCATGCAGTAATTGGAGCCAGACCCTTCTGCTCCCCTGAGTACAGCCACAACTTCCACAAGTTAGGCTCAACATTACCTCACAGCACATTCGGGTAACTCCTCTACCGAACAGTCTTACTGTAATATAAGCTTGTCTCGCTCTTCAGTGCACCAACACCTGATAGATTGTTGTGTAATTGGTTAATAATAAAGCCAGGTAGTAACAACAGTTAGCAGCAAACAGAGTATTCAGTAAAAGAAAAAATATGACATAGTTGGGTGAAAAAGTGTAATGGTGGAAACAAGGTGCTTAGTAATTTTGCAGCATAGGTCTTTTTAATCTGATATCTGGTGGATTGAGTGCGTCAGGTCACACGACCTCCTCATAAATGTGGACGCGTGTTCCCAACCAAAATTTCAGTGGGTGTGAACTGATGGGTACCAACATTTGTGATCTGAATTTTCCTGTTTGTTTCCTAAAGCTGTGCTGTGAAAGTTTGAAGTTGCTGAATGGAGCTTTTGTAAGAGTAAAGGAGTTTAATCAACACAGTGTTTACTGAATAAACTCAGTCAGTCACTAAAGAGTGCAGTGTATCCATCACATCTGTGCAGCTGTTAAAAAACTGCAAAAAAGAAAACTGCACAGAATGTTGATTTTCATGCTATATATTCATATTGCCCATACCAGCACAAAATGTATTTCTATTTGCAGAAGTTGAATGTTTTCAAGCTACAAGTGAATGCAGCAATATGATGTGTTCATACGTTATGTAGTCATGTGGGGGCAAACTGAGTCAAAATACATCAGAGCCTGTTGGTGGATGTTTGTGTCCAAAGGGCCTCACAGTGCTGAGGGTGCTCCTCTCTGCACTGTATCAGAGGAACTGGAGACATTTGTCCAGCAGATGGTGCCATTTCCATTTTTATCCGTGCAGAGGAGAAGAGCTGAAGCCAACTGCAAAACAGATTTTACACATGGGATGAGGGCTTGTATTCTGTTTTTTAAATATTTTTATTTCTGATAACCAAATTACTGAACTGATCCTTCTTTCAGAACAATGTCCAATATCAAAGCAGATACCTCCATCCCTCTGCAGTCCTCTACCAATACATGGTGAGTTCACAGCTATTCCTGCAAACATTATTTTGTCCAATGTACAGTGTGTATTACATTATACTGCATGATGGGCTTTATTTAGTGATTTTACCCTCAGCATTTCAGAGAACTGCTTTCTTGAACTGCCTCGATGCTGGCTCACACAGCTACAATTTAATGGGTATTTTTTTTTAAGCTAGGCAAAGGTTTAAATAGAGCAGGATAAAAGGGTAGGGTGAGGGAATAAGATGTTTTTTGCCTTTACTGACAGCGTGCCGTACCCAGAGAAAAAGAGACTCCTGGACAGACAAGAGGAGATCCAGGAGGTGAAGCAGCTAGACGAGTGGAAGCCTGCTGTCTGCATCTTTACGGCAGTGCTGGAGGGCTTAGATGACAAAGCCAGCTGACGAATCATACAGCTACTATAGTATTAACTGTACACTCTTATCTTCATCTGAACTCTTTAAGAAATACACACTTTTGATGTATTTAAGACAAATAAGAGCAAAATGTATCTACCACATTGTCAAAGAGTCATCTGTCTATTTGTCTCTCTATTCCATTTTTCTTCGTCACTCAGGGTGGCTGTTCTAGCTTTTGCTGTTCTTGTATTTGTTTCTTCTTCAGCCTACAAGTGCTTGGATATCAGTTACTGTAAGACCTATGGCCCTGTCACCCTTGGTGAGCATCTGTAGCCCTAGTTTTTTCGGTGTGTTCCGCACCGTCAGCTCTCGTCAGGCCGACTGATCATGTTGAATCAGGCCATCGGTGAGAGAAATCGCTCTGATTGGCTGTGCAGCTTAAGTGCACCAGAAGAGAAACAGAAGTGAGCAAACGACTTCATGAAAAGGGCACGTATGAAAGGATCGTCTCGTTTTTCAGCTTTATCTCTGATCTGAACACGGATATTTCTCGATTAGAAGCTGCTGTTTAACAATACCTGAGCGAGAGTGGGCAAACCTACGTCCACAGGGCTGCTTTTGTCTATATGTGCAGTTCTAGGTCTTCCAGTGTTCCACCTGCTGGTATGGAGAGGCAGGCATAGAACGTACGTGCAGTGTGCTCTAGTGTCACTTTTTGGCCAAGACACAGGCGACGTGAGGTGATGTAACATTTGGCTCTTGATGCTGCTAGTTGGTTGATGTTGGTTTGGTGTGTCAGGGCCTTTACAGTTACCAAACTTTGCAGATAGGTTCAAAGTTTTAGCCACTCCAATAGCCACCGTTAACTTCTGAATGGTAACTAAAGTAATACACCTTCTCTATTTACTTTGGGTAAGATACATCTATCTGTATTGAACACACAGTGTACAGTGCTGGGTCATGTGATGAGGTTGAGCTGTAATTATTTCTAAATGTATCAGTTAATTATTATACTTAATTATTCACATGATTATTTCATAATGTCTTCTTTTTCATAGTGCATAGTGACGGTGTTCTTCCAAACAGCAACAACTAAGTAACTTAATGCTTAATGTGAGTTATGGATGATTGTAAAGCTCTCCATATTCTGGGCAGGAATTAAGTGCATTTGACCACTTGGCAATATCCTTGTAAAATTTGGCTGACTGTTGTAAACAGTTGGTGATTACTACAACTGTGCATGCAGCATATCCTAATTCTTATAATACTGCTAGTTACCAAAAGGGGTAATTGTTCCCCAACTGTAATAATTGTATAATTATTTTTAAACGATTATCTTAATACTCATTTAGGTCAGTTCAATACAATTCAAGTACCCCTTTAATAATATGCGGTCACAGCAATAGTTACAGCAGAGCCACCCTAAGTGCTGTGCTGGGGGTTTCTGTGATATGGACCAATCAATGTTGTGATAATGATTTAATCAATAAGCCCCATGGCCCTCAAGCCAACCAAATAAAATAGAATTACTGCCTCTATCCTGAACACTACGCTGCTGCTCGTCCTGTTACGTCTCTGGAGTCAGCAGTTCTGGATGTATCTGCTGCTGCTATGGTAAAATGTTCCATGGCTTTTTAAATGCAATAAGGGCTTTCTGATAAAAAGGCGTCAACCTTGAATGCTTCACATTGTTGTGTCAGTGAATGATGTGTGCCTTCCACTTTCTTTCTTTCTATTCTATGCATTAAAAGTGAAGGGATCTTTTCACTGTCCTAACACAAAACCCAGTGTCTCCCCTACATAACCTTTACATGGGATGGAGCCAAAGTCCAGCAGTGGCTTAAAGGACCAGTGTGTAGCATTAACAGCTGTTTACGTTCCAGTCTCGAAGAAATGTTCAAACTTAAAACAATCTCTTTACTGACCAAGAGCTGTCTCAGGCAGTGGAAAGCGAGGCCATTCTCAAGTCTGGTTTTGCTTCTATATCTATCAGTAGTCCAAACTCCTTCAATCCGTCCCAGACTTCCCGAGCTCTGTAACAGTCCATTAAAAGATGCTGTTGTGTCTCATCATCGTTGAAGTTAATCATTGGACATTTTTTTTGTTGTTACATTACAACTCCAAGACACAACAGCTCTAACAGGAAGTCCTCCCACAGACATCAGCCACCAAACATCCCGAATGCTCTCTGACAGGTTCTTACTTTTTAAAATATTTATCACCTCAGTGCTTTCATTAGGAGTTACATATTTATAGGATTACTTCATATTTGAAATCATTAATTTTTTTTATAAATAATGTTGTTGGGTAGACCTCCCCAGTCTGTGTAAATGTTGGTATTGTGTGATAAAATCTTCATATATTATAATATGAACCAGTCCTTTTTTTTTTTCTCTCGTCGTTCTCCACATTAAAGGGTCTCCTATCCAGAGAGCCTTCCTGCTGATGGCTGCAGATATGTTTTTAACAAAAGCAATTTTACGCTGTCATGTGACTCACTATCGCCTCCTGAGGTACGAAGTGGAAGTACAAGACGGGATGGACCAAGGCTAGCTGGTTACCATGCTAACTGCAGTAGATATCTCAGCAACAGTACGTCTTTAACACAACGTCAGAACTGGTTTTTCTTCACACTATGTTGCTAATTTTAGTTCATTTTTGAATGTTCTAAACTAAAATTATTGCGTGTACCTCCTTTTAACACGTATAAAAAATAAAAATTCTCAAATACTGTATTAAATCCCAAGTCTCCTTCCCACCAGACATCAAAATTACAAACTAGTTAGCTAGCTTTGTTTCAGCCTCAGTCTTTTTGGATGCTTGCTACAGAAACTGTACAGTGTCAAACACAGAGGCTGACATTTTGAAACTGTGTTTTCCTTACACAAGTCCTAATACAATGATGTGCTCCTTGGCTTTGAACACAATGCTTACTACTGTGGGTAGAGGGTTAGCCATGCTACCATGCGCCGCCCACCCCCCGGCTATAACGCCTGGCTACAGTGACATTTGCTGTTTATCTCTGTGCCAGATCAGAATTTGTTAGTGCCATGAATGGACTTCTGCTGTGTGCCGCCGATATCTTAAAGGTAATCTTTTGTGATTCTTGACTGAGCAGGCCATTGCTCTTAATGAATGTCAGAACGCTGAATTTCTTGCCACCCATAAGGTCACCCCTTTAAATGTCAACAGGCAGAGACAATGCAGGAGACAAAAAGAAAGTGAGAGTTTTTATTTTTTTATTGAGCATGGGAAAGAAAGAAAGAAAGAAAGAAAGAAAGAAAGAAGATGTATTTAAGATTCCTGCTAAAAATACACCTGTCTAACCCGTCCGAATCCCTGAGCCAGCCCAGTCCTCTCAAACTGGAATGTCAAAGGTTTGATTTACCCAAAATGAGGCAGGACATTTTTAAAGTGCATGTGATGTAACTCACCTATCTGAGAGCAAAACACAAAACATTTTTCCTCCACCTTCTACATCGTCCAATTCGGACTTAAGTTGTAAAGTTGCTATAAAGCAAAAATATAAAGCATAAGTGAGGCAGTGTACATAGCATACATACATACACTGTATGTGGCACACTGGTGACAGTAACTGCAGAAACACATAAATGGTTGAGACACATGCACACCCATTCCCCCCTGAAGATTTGCATGTAATTAGCGGTGCGAGGGTACAGTGGCAATCAAGTACAGAGCCTGGGCCGGCTAGATAAGCTAATATGCAACCACCTTGTTGCTTTCCCATTCACACCCCACCACCACAGGCACCACCAACTCCTGCTGGGGATGGAGATGGAAGGTGTTTTGCATTTAAGTGGTTATTTGTGGGTAGCACAGATGTGTGTGTCTGTGTGTGTGTGTGTGTGTGTGTGTGTGTTGTGTGTGTGTGCAGTATAGGGTTGGCTCCATATTATATTTTCATGGCCAAAACATCAACAGCAGCTTTGAGGTTGAAGCTGCCATAGATGTTATTTTATGGTGGTATTCATGTGTTTGATCATTTTCAGTGCAAAATGGAGCTGGGTGCTGTGTGTTTTCTTCTTGTTTTCCAGATGTGTGGAGGTTTTATGGAGTTTAAGCGTCTTTTAAATTGTTCTGATCCCAGAGCGGAATCAGGGATCATGGATCTTTTTCTACCACTAAGTGCTAAAGCAGTGCTAAAAAATAATTAATAGATTACCTATTCCTCGACAAGGTAGGTTGTCAGTAGTTGCTGCTTCAACTGCTACACTTAATTAATTCATCCATTAGTCGCTAAACATGAGATAAATCAGTAAGTACTTATTTTTCTCAAGCTTTCTACACCGCACTCATCCTCATAACAAGTACCACCATTATGACCAACCGTAAAATACAGGAGGCAGGCTTATTCCTAATAAGAATATATTGATTATTTATAACTTCCTGAATCCTGAACAGAACAAGTTCAAGAACCAGAGTTAATTTGATGGAAAAGGGGAACTCCTGATTCACACTTCTCCTCCTAATAGCTTTCGCTTTGGAACCATTAATACTGTGTACTTATACTTTAAGAACCATTTATTTTACCACTATTTTATGAAACATTACACAAAATGTTATGTAAAATAAAATCTAAAAACTGTATCTTAATCATAGAAAATTTACGAGTCAGTTATTTCTATTTTTTTACTGTATTGTTTTGGCACACCAGCTGCTTAAAATGTTAGTTTGTTTTGTTTGTTTTTTACTGTGTATTAAACACAGCCACTGGGAATAAAGCCATCCAAAACAGAAAAGCAGGTGAATCACAATCAGCAAAGTGTTGCATGCAGAAAGAATAAGCGACTCTAGCAGAAGGTGGAGGCGCACGCAATTTCCCCACCCTGCCCATGGCAATTGTTCCAAAGCAAGAACTATTACCACAAATAACAGCATTTCTGCCTGCACATACAAGGAGTGGATGAAAAACCACATTCACTCTGTGGAAATTGAGATGCAGATTATATAGTATGTGTATAATACCAGAGCAAATCAAGCCAGTGTAGCCCATCTTGAATAATGATTTTGTAAAGGTCTAATAACAGTGAAATTGAAAATGCGGTCATTGAAACTGCATTGCACATAAAGTGCTGACAGTGAGGGCTGAAAGCTGAGGAGAATATCTGTTTTATAGAAGCTTCCATCGGCTGGTGTGTTTCTGCTGTCTCCCACAGGAACCTGTGCTCAACGGGACCGACAGTGCTGCTTAATGACGAGCTTTGAATACAGAAACGCTGACATGTTGCTTTGCCTGTCCAAGCTCATCAATATGATGAAGACTTTAGAAGAATACAATTATATTCAAATAAAATACTTGTTCTTCCAAGCAAGTTAAGTGAATAGCTCAGTGACATATATTCTATTAGATGCCTTCGTTGTGGCTATACAATGCTGCAAATGCAAAATGAATGAATGAGGTTCATTGACATTTTACTGAGCTTACTTCCTTTAAAGGTATTCATCATGCAATAACTTTCTCAATAGTTGATAAGTATGTCAGAGTGGTTACTAAGATAGATGGACAGGATATCTTTCAGTGGATTTCTTATATTAAGTCCCATTTGTAAAAAAATTAAAACCTTTAATAGCTTTAACATTTTTAAAGCAGCACTGATCAATACATTCAAATCCACTCTCATTGCCCTGTTTTCCAGCCATAAAAAGAAAAAAAAGCTATAACTATTGTACACTACCCTACCCACCCAGCACCAATAGCAAACACAGTTAGCAACTAACTGGTGTTCACAGTGCAGCATTTAGCAAATAAAGAACCTGATATTTCACACAGGAAATGGTGGCAATTATAGTCACCTATTTTTTGTAATCTGATTACATAATCCCTATTACATGGAATCTACCCAACCCTACCTAACAGTCAGCTGTGTTCTCTGCCCAGTGGGAAACCAGAGCCATGAATGTCTTCAAAGAACATCTTCATTCAGTCCCTAACTGCCTGTAGCCTGCGGGTAACAGCGGTGCAAACCTGCCCCACTGCGCCACGCTTTCTATATGCTTTAACCACATGACCACCCATGCCGACCATATCCATTATGTCCCCTCACTTGTCTCAGCTCCAATTTGTTTCGCCATCCATCCCAGGCAATGTGTCAATACGTATCACCAAGATAAATGAGGTTTCTAGTATTCTGCGTTTCCATTTTCTGTGGCGCCTGTCACACATTTGACTGCAGGGAAAATGGAACTTCTGTAAATGAACTCCATTCTAGTCTAGATGGGGTAGCCTATCAATAAGGGCCACTATCTACAATCAAACCTGGGAAGTTGCAGAGCCGGCCCCCCCAATACCTCTGATTTTACTATTTCCCGCATCACTCCCCACCACTGCCTTATATTGTTGTTCCATTCTGTTTCCCTTTCTGTCTTTTGTTACAGTGAAAGTGTAAAAAATCTGTTTGAAGTCATTGTCATTACTCCTGTGGTGTGTAAGATAGCTGTATGCTGTCAGTGTTAGCTACAATTGGGGTAAGTACAAGCCGGCCAACTTCTTCTCACTCTCAGCAACTCAACCCTCTGTGTCTGTCAAGTGTCCTGCTGCCATTAGCTCCACTGCTAGCCAAGCATGTGAAACTGTTTTGGACATATGAGCAGCAATGGATAAGTCAGTTTGCTGGATTGGATTCAAAGTGACAGCTGCTGGATGGAAACTTCACTGGCA